AGTGTGCCATGACCGGCCACAACTCGAGTCACTTTGACAGGGCACGTGGAGCCACTCAGACAGAGGCCCCCTTGGATCCCCCGTGACCCTTGCTCTGGGAGAAGGGTGAAGCTGAATGAGGACCCAAGTGTTTAGTTAGACTGCAGCCAATGCATGGTGTCTACTGTGCTTCCTTCTGCCTCCCTTGGTGGCTGGAGTCTTGCCAGGGCCCTGCACCCACCTGTAAGAATTCCCCTCAGCTTCAAGGCACTGGGGATCATGAGAGACCTTGTTCTAATCTCCCCTGTAGGGGGCAGGACATATTCCTGTAGTTCTCTGAAGGGGCAGGAGGAAGGCATGGGCCCAGTCATCTGCTGTCTGGGTCCGAGATGCCTGATTCTGCTGGAACATGTGAGAGAGCCTCGTTTCTTTCTGCTCATTTCAACTCAGTAAACACGAAGCACCGCCTCTACATGCCTGGCTCTTCGCTGGTGGCAGATGCCCTGAGGCCTATCCTAGTGGACCTAGTCAAAGGGCTTTGTCTGCCAGGCACCAAGCCAGCCTTCACTGGCAGGACCAAACCTGCCCCGCTCTGGCCACCTGGACATTCAGTGACAGCTCAATGAATCTGTGAATGAACCGGAGAATGGGCAGCTCTCCAGAGCATGCCGTTCTCCCAACCTCTTTGTTGCGTCAGAGATGGCTTCCTTCCAGACGTCCTGGCAGTTCTGGCCTGGCCCTCTAGGCAGCGCTGTGAGGCCACAGGAGTGAGGGGGCGGCCAGCCACACCACATGGCTTTCCTGGAAGGGAGCTTCCTAAGCCAGCCCAAGCTGCCTGGAGCCCAGGGCTTGAGTCTGCAGTGGACACAGATAAAGAATGGCTTCTTAGAGGTGGACCCCAAGGGAGGCAGGGAGAAAGGGGAGAAATTAGCAGGGGCCAGGTAGGGAAACCAACATGAAAATGCCCAGATGCTGCAGCCAGGGTCGGATTTTTCTTTATTTTGGTCGCTGTCAAGAGGTCCTGAGACTCTTCTCTCCCACCAGAATCAGCACCATTTGAGGGGCAGATTTCAAGCTTTCCTTGTTCAGAATGCAGCAGGGATGCCAGACCTGGAAAAAGGAGGGAGAGGAGCAGCAAGCAGGCCTGTCCTGCCTAAGGTGACTCTTTGCTGGTACCCAGGTTCAAGGCCGCACATTCAGGAGTACAGAACACTGACTGTCTTCTTACATCAGCTGGCACCAGCCTTTGCAGAGAAATGCCAGTCAGTGAAGGTTTTCCAGGCCAGTCAGTTTGCAGTGTGTCTCTATGTCTGAGGCCTTTGGGTGTCCGGGTCCACTTGGGGAAATTACTGGCCTTCTATCGTGGTGTGTCCCTGCTGGCTTTGCAGACATCTGCTACCCACTCACTCCTCCCCAGGTCTCGGGAGATGTGGATGAGATCTTTCCCTACACTAGGGTTGCAGAGGCTCAGGACACTGCCCCATATGCACTATTTCTACATGATAATAACAAAAAATATTTATCAAGAACAGGATCCCCCACAGATACCCAAACAGCGTGTCCCAGTGCCTTATATAAAATAGTAGTATATAAAATAGTATTTGCATGTAACCTACCCAAATCCTCCTGTATACGTTGTCACCTCTAGAGTGCTTATAATATTTGATATCATGTAAAAACTGTGCAAATACACTGTATTGTTTAGGGAATGATACAGAGGCTGTACATGTTCAGTCTAAGCACAGCTTTTTTAAAAAATATTTTCCGTCAGAAGCTGGTTGAATCTGGGTCATGAAATCTCCCTCCTTTATAGAAGGCAAGAAGATTGCAAGTTCAAGTCTCACTTGTGCAACTTGGTGAGCCCTCTTTCAAAAAATAAAAGGGGCTGAGAGTGTGCTTAGCGGTAACGCACCTCTGGGTTCCACCCCAGTACCAGCACACATACGTGCACACACACACACACACACACACACACACACACACACACACAGAGTTGGAGGCAATGACGACTGAAAAGAGGCAGGCCCTTAGCCCCTTGTGATCTTGTAGTCAGGCTTTGAGACTTGGGAAACTTGTCTCAACCTGTCATCCCCACTGAAGGTTTCAGAAGCCTATTTTGAGACTAAGGCCTACAGATGACCTCTTTTCTTTCATTCCTCTGTGGCTTCTCCCACTAAGGGAATGGAGGAGGGATGGATACAAGGTAGCTGGGTTGGCGAAGGACTCTAGGATATAATGCACAGAAAGTTGGGGTCTCAGTTGCAGTACCATATGTATATCTACAGCATCCCTGATATTTTAGAGTGCACCCTGCCAACTCACCTTACAGACCACCCCTTACTTCGTAATCAACCTGGTTGGTGGCATTTGGAAACTCCCTGCTGCCTGTATGGACTCAGCAATCTGATCTGTCACTGCGGCCCTTGAAGGTCCTCTGCCCCAGTGGCACCATCCTAGACATCGGTACCCCGCACACCCTGTGCTTTGTGTGCTCCTCCAGCTCCCTAGGGCTCCATTGTCCTTCAAGGCCCTTTCTCTCCTCCGTGTGCCTTTTGCTGCGCTCCCCTCACTTTGGAGCTGGTTAAGGATAGCACTCTTTTTCTCAGCAGGGGGGTACAGGCCATGGCCAACAGACTGACTTAGATCCTCTGGACTTCAGGATGTTCCTTAATCTCCCTGAGGTTAGGATTTCTCTCAGGGGCCATGGCCTTAATACGCACCTTACAGATTTAAGGTGTCAAAAGTTTATTTTCCCCCAGGTCCAGTTCATAGCAAGTGCTCTATAAGTGGAACCCACAGGCTCGTATTACCTTGTTGTGACTTTTCCTGTTGTTCCGGTAAGACCGAGTTCCATGTATATAGGAACTGGGCGTTTTTTTTTCTGTGTCCTCGGGACCTGCCAAGTATTTAGCATGTGGAGGATGAATGTGAGAGTCACCGTGGTAGCTGCCTGGAGGCCAAAGGCTTGGAAAGACTCTGGGCCCACCCACTGTGCCTCAGGCTCTAAACTGCCGGCAGTAATTATCCCGTGACAGAAGGAAGGCAAGCCCTTGCCAGCTCCGTATTTTGATCGGTGAGACTCTGTTCTTCTAGCACCTGAGAGTGAGAAACCTGTACAGCAGAGGTGGACCGATGGGCTGCTGCTCCCTGGAGGTGATGTCTGAGGCAGACATAAATCCTCTGCATCGCTCCCACTCCCGGTCTCTTCACAAGTGTCCCGGTTGTATGCAACAATCCCTGAAATCGGGTTCTGCGGCGAAGGTACAATTTTCCACAATTTGATGATTTGCTGACGAAAACCCGACAGTCTTGGCAGCTGCTTGAGACACTGTCACTTGTGACTGTAGGAAGAGCTAGGATGTTTACAAGGCCACCTCCATTCTATTTGATTGTTTATTTGGCACTGGGGAATGAATCCAGGGCCTTCACACTTAACTATATCCCCAGCTCTTTTTAAATGTTTAGATTTTGAGATAAATTCTCGCTAAGTCACTGGTTTGCCCAGGCAGGATTTGAACCGGTGATTCTCCTGCCTCAGCCTCTCAGAGTATTGGGACTATAAGAGTCCATCACCACATCTGGCACATTTATTTGCTATATATTTATTAGAGATGAGGTGTGTTACTATGTTGCCTAAGCTGGTCTTAAACTCCTGGGCTCAAGTGTCCCTCCTGCCTCAGCCTCCTGAGTAACTGGGATATAACCTGGCTATAAAACTTATTTTAAAACACATAGTGTCCCTTCTTACCTGTTTTGCAGTAGTGGCTCCTGAACAAATCTTCGCCCAATCTTAAAGTTCAGTTAAGAAATAAAGGCCCACTTTCTCGCAGGGCTGGGGGATTGACGCATCAGGAATTTTACAGAGGTCATGGAGATAGCTTCAGCAGCTCATCCTGGCTCCATTAATAGGCAGATAGCGTTTTGCCTTTGATCTTGGGCCTAGGCTGCCCGGCTGAACCTACTTATTCTGAGAAGTTGCACCACTTTGCTTAACTGGAATCCGTCAGAGGTTGAGACAACACGTCTAAGTGAGCTCCATGGAGCCTTCCTAAATCCCCATCACTTGTCTGCGCCATCCCCTGCAGCAGGATCTTCTCCTTTGAGCCCCCCAGGAGGTGGGCAGGCTGCGAAGCAGGGGCCGCCCCTCAGGAGTGTGAGTCCCAGGGTGTGCGTCTCTCTTCCTCCTTACTCTGGCCCCCCTTTTTAAATCTCTTCTCCCACTTTTCAGGCAATTTACAGAGGGGCATATGACGGTTACACGAGCAGTTCGGTGAGCCTGAGCAGGTTCGTGGACCGGCCTTGTAACACCTTCATCACTCCAGCGGGCCCTGCCAGTCCGTCTGCTCTCAGTATCTGTCCCTTTCCCAGCTCCCAGAGACCACAGGTCTGCTTTCTGTCTCTTTGGTTATCACTTTCTAGGAATTGAACATGAAGAAGGGAATAATAGACTGTGTGGCTTTTGGTGTCTGGCTTTTTTCCTTTGGCATGATGTGTTTGCATGTGTTGTATTCTGTCCCCTCTATCTTTTATTATTTTTAATCTCTCTCCTCTCTTTCTCCCTCCTGACAATTATGCAATTTTCTCATTGATCTTTTCTGTCCTTTTTTCACCCCAAGTTGTGACTTAATCTTTGGACCCTAACATGCAAAGAGAAAAGAAATGCAATGTCACACACTGACTAGGCTCTAAGTGGGTAGCAATCTGGCCCAGCCCATGGGGGCCCAGGACATGACCTCCCCATGGTAGTGGGCAGCAAATAAAAGGGGAGGTGAGGTGGGCTGTGAGATGTGCTTCTTCCTCCGGCAAGCTTGAGACCCTCAGCCTTGTCCAAGGGGGGGCAATGAGAACAAGACAAGCTGGGCGTGGTGGTACACGCCTGTAATCCCAGCACTCGGGAGGCTGAGGCAGGAGGATCGCTGTGAGTTCGAGACCAGCCTGGGCTACATAGTGAGTTCCAGGTCAGTCTCAACTACATAGTGAGACCTTGTCTAAAAAAAAAGAACAAGACAAAGGTGTGAGAACAAAGCCAGTTTACTGACTGCACGGCACCAGCACTGAGCAGGTGCCCTCCACAGGGGGACCCAAGGCTGCTGGGCCTTTCAGTGCTCCCAGATTCCTGGGCCCTTCTGGGTTGAGGGGCAGCAGTGGGCAGCCTGCAGCCAGCTCAACAGCCCAGGCAACTGGACCTGTGCTGTTGGGGGTCTAGACTGGTCCCCATTGTTGCATGTGGATGCCAAGCCAGACCCAAAAGAGGGACACAAAGTGTGAATGATGACGGTGAATACGGTGGTTTCAGTTTCAGTAAAGAGGAGGGAGAAGGGAGGCATGTGAGGACAGAGAAAGGACGGCTGGGTGGAGAGATCTCCACTGGGCTCCATGTCAGTTCCCTTGCTAGACGATCCGGCTGGGATAAATTCTGCTTTCATTTCCATCTCCCAACTCGGAATCTAGAAAGCAAGAAGATCTTTCAGACCTCAAGGCCACCGTAGAGTTCAGGATCTATCATGGAGGAGGGTCACATCGCTGCCCTTTCTTCTCCTACCCTGGCCCCTGTGGCCAGCCACATACATGGTTAAGTGCCTGGAACAGTGTGGGGAACAGAAACCTGCATCTGGGGCCGGGCACTCCCAGATGGTTCAGTGAGTTACCATCGCAAGCTGCTCAAGTGCACCCTAGTTATCTGCACAGTCCACACAGCCTGAGTTCAAACGCCTTGTTCTCCTCTTGGAATCATGCCCCATAGAACCCCCACTTCCTAATGTGACAGGGGCTGGGGACACTGGGCTATGTTTCTAAGATGTCTTCCAGAGTCAGTGGCTCGAGGGACATGTGACAGGAGGGGTAACCAGGCATCGGCGCAGTTGTGGAGGCTAAGTGGACTGAGTAGAACGAAGGACCTCTTCATCCTTTAGGACTTTTTTTCCACTTTCTTTTCTTTCTTCCTTAGGCACAGCACAGGTATAGTAGATTGAACCCAGGGCCTTTGTACTGAGCTACACCGCAGCCCTTTCTTCAATTCTTATTTTGGGACAGTTTTGCTAAGCTGGGAAGTTGCCCATGCTGGGGACATCAACTTGCTTTCCTGCCTCAGTCTCCTGGAGTGCTGGATGACAGGTGTGCACCACCACGCCTGGATCTTGGGGGAAATTCTGTTCTCAGCATATTCCTTTTTATCTTGGCTTGAGTGAGTGTGCCCTGACTATTTAAAACCAGTTTCTAACCGTTGAAGACTGGCACAGAGCAAGGGCAAGTGATATCCGGCTGTCTCTGCTGGGACCAATTCAGTATTACTTTGTGCCTCTAGAAAACCCCAACCCCACAAGTTGCTGCAGTTCTCTTACCCACCCTGGGCTTTCTCCAAGAGCTAGGAGCCCTGACTGTGTTGGGATTGGGGTGCTGCCGCCCAGCCTTTGGCCCGAGGGTTCTCACGTCTGCCCTTGCCCCACCCCTGTTCCTGTCTTCACCTGTATGGATATCAGCGGGTGGTATTGTTCCCCTCCCTAGGCTGGGTTTTGGATATGGTGACAGTGATTTGTGGGGCTGGGCCCCAGAGCCACGTGGCAAGTTGACACACACCGGCGACTCTCCCTAGGTGCCCTTACCTGATGGTGCCACGTGTGACCTTTGGGTGAGGCTTTGATTCATAGGTGGGTCAAAGCGAGCCTGGTGAGTAGGCTGGCATGGGCACCTGGCATGGGCACCACAGAGCCACAGGGCAGCTGGCACCTCTTGTGCCACCCCCATGTGTCCTACTATCTTTCCTTTCCCCTCCCTCTTTACCTGAACCGAGCTGAGGCAGCAGGTCACGGCTGTGACTCAGCACTGGCAGCCCATAACAAGGTACTGCCAACCAGGTGAGTCATGCCAGGCCAAAGAAGACTGTGGCCCAGGGGGAGGGCTGGCTGCCCCGGCTCTTGTCTTGTTAGTGGCTGGAAGCCAGCTAAGGGCTGTGACAGGCCAGCACGCCGGGTTGTCCCTCTGCACAAGGTGCCCCCTCCAGGGCTGTGTCCACCGATGTCTCCCGTGTGTGCGGGGCCGGGGTTAGGTGGAGAGGGCCTGGACCTTCATTGCAGAGAGAACTGGCCACTCTCGCATTGCAGCTGAGACGTGATGAGGTGAATCCCATTGCTGGGAGTCCCTGACCCGGGACAGAGTGAGGGATGATGGGGACGATCTGCCTGGCAGCAACAGGGGGCAGCGTTCCTTCCCTCCGTGGAGACTCCTTTTGAAGCAGAACCCCCTGCCCCCCGCGCCCTCCCCAGTCGTCAGTCGCTCTCAGGGCCCGCCTGGAGTTCAGCGTGCTGCTTCCAGGTCTCCGAATCTGGGCCTTGGGTCTGGGGGAAAAAAAAACCCTCGGCCCGCTGAGCGTCAGGGCGCAGTGCACGCGCCGGTCACTAGG